AGGACAGCCAGCTCCCTTGCAACTCTTTTGTTTAAAGAACAGAAGAAGATTGTGGAGATGGGGACTATACACGAAGCAGAAAAAAAATCAGATCTTGGGTAAGTCAAAGGTTGGCGCATTTGATTGGAATCGGTGAGTGAGGGACTTTTCCTACCATCCAGCCCTTACTAAGCTGGATCTTGGGTTCCTCTAAGGAAAAAGACTTCTAAGAGGTAATTTGCAGAGGAGGGCTGGGGTGGGTTTAGAAGTTAAAGGAAGGCCAGGTGCCCAGAGGGTGCTGAGTGACTCACGCCTATAATCCTAGCTACTCAGGAGGCTGAGATCTGAGGATCTCGGTTCAAAGCCAGCCCGGGCAGGAGAGACCGTGAGACTCCTATCTCCAATAAACCACCAGAAAACCGGAAGTGGCGCTGTAGCTCAAGTGGTAGAGCGCTCACCTTGAGCTGAAGAGCTGAGGGACAGCACCCAGGCCCAGAGTTCAAGCCCCACGACCGACAAAAAAATATATATATAGCCAGATGGCTCATATAGCACTGATGGCTCATCCCTGTAATTCTAGCTACTCAGGAGGCTCAGATCTGAGGATCACCATTAAGAGCCAGCCCATGCATTACAGTCTGTGAGACTCTTATCTCCAGTAAACCACCAGAAAACTGGGAGTGGCTTGAGCTGAAGAGCTCAGGGACAGTGCTCAGGCCCAGAGTTCAAGTCCCACAACTGACGAAATAAAATAAAATAAAATATATGTATGTAAATGTATATAGCCAGATAGTCCTTTGTTTTCATGAAAGGTCTGTCTGCCCTATCTGTTCACCTTTGTTTTCTCCTCCAGAATGACAGTGTGATTTTATTCACCATACAGGAGTTTTGACATTGTGGGAAGAACTAGATCTAAAAACTGTTCTGGATGTGGTAGCACACACCTCTACTCCCAGCACTACAGCGGCAGAGGCAGTAGGCTAGTGAGTGTGAGGCTAGGCTGAGCGACATCACAAATCCCTGTTCCAAAAAATAAAATCAGGCCAGGCACTGGTGCTTCATGCCTGGAGTCCTAATTATTCAGGATCCAAGGATCACAGCCTGCCAGGTAGGAAAGGCCACAAGACTCATCTCCAACAAACTACTCAGAAAAATCTGGAAATGGTGCTGTGGCTCAACTGGTAGAGCACTAGCCTTGAGCAAAAAGAAACTCAAGGGTAGCATCTAGGCCCTGAGTTCAATTCAAGCCCCTAGGCCCTCCCTGCCCTCCCCATACTCTAATAAATAAAATCAGAAACCTGTTGAAATTATTTTATGAAGAGGAGGGTGTGAATCTGATCAGAGTTCATTGTAAGCAAATATGAATATGTCAGAGTAAAACCCCCTTGAACAACTGATAGGTACTAATAAAAAAAAAAACAGAATGGGGCTGGGAAGGTGGCTCAGTGGTAGAGTGCTTGCCTCGCATGTATGAGGCCCTGGGTTCGATTCCTCAGCACCACATAAACAGAAAAAGCCAGAAGTGGCACTGTGGCTTGAGTGCCAGCCTAGAGCTGAGGAGCTCAGGGACAGCGCTGAGGCCCAGAGTTCAAGTCCCACAACCAACAAAAATAAATAATTCAAGTAGATATACCTTCTTACTTGCCTTTGAGCTCTGGTAAATCAGATCACTTGAATCTGAAAATGGCATACTAGTCCCTATTGGTTATTAACCTAATATCATACATTACTGGGTACAGAATACTCAAAACATGGTGGCTCTTACTAATCATGTCATGAAGTCTACCTACCTTTCAGAATCTAGTCCCTTCTCTGCTGTTGTTCTGTAGCTCATTTAAATGAGATAATATTTTTTGGTCGGTCATGGGGCCTAGGCATTGTCCCTAACTCTTTTGCTCAAGGCTAGTGCTCTACCACTTTGAGACACAGCTGTACTTCCAGTTTTCTCCTGGCTAGTTGGAGATATGAGTCCCGTGGACTTGCCTTCCTGAGCTGGCTTTGAACCATGATCTTCAGATCTCAGTCTCTGGAGCGGCTAGGATTACAGGTATGAGCCACCCGTACCCAGCCTTGTATTCTATCCATTCTATATAGCTGTTCTGTATAGGTGCTAGTTCCAAGCTAAGTAAGGTTAGAGTTTAGATCTTCAAGAGCAGGTACACACGTGAAAATAAGTAGCTAGGATTACAGGCATGAGCCCTTGTAATTCTAGCTACACAGGAAGCTGAAATCAGGTTCAAAGTCAGCCTGGTCAGGAAAGTATGTAAGACTCTTACTCCAACTACCAAAAAGCTGGAGATAGAGCTGTAGCTTGTTAGAAATAGCTTTGGATGTTGGGGTAATACATAGGAAGAATAAACACACGGGGGCTGGGAAGGTGGCTCAGTGGTAGAGCGCTTGCCTTGCATGCCTGAGGCCCTGGGTTCAATTCCTCAGCACCACATAAGCAAAAAGAAAAAAAAAGCCGGAAGTGGTGCTGTGGCTCAAGTGGTAGAGTGCTAGCCTTGAGCTGAAGAGCTGAGGGATAGCGCTCAGGCCCAGAGTTCAGGCCCCACAACCGGACCCCCCCCCCAAAAAAAAAAAAGAGTAAGAAAATCCCTGGGCATTGTTGGCTCATGCCTGTAATCCTAGCTGCTCAGGAAGCTGAGAACTGAGGATCATAGTTTAAAGCCAACCCAGGTAGCCAAGTGTGTTAAACTTGTATCTCCAATGAACCACCAAAAAAATAAAAATAAACTTGTAGTGATTTTAACATAGTATGTCACGCTATAAGTATCTTATTTATATCTGTTTAATAAATGTGCATATCTGTAATAATGCTACCTCTAATTCTTTTTTTTTTTTAACCAGTCCTTGAATTACCAAGGCTTGAATATATGGTCTGGGCGCTGTCCCTGAGCTGCTTTTGCTCAAGGTTAGTGCTCTACCACTTGAGTCACAATTCCACTTCTGGCTTTTTTGGTAGTTTATTGGAGGTAAGAGTCTCATGGACTTTCTTACCCAGGCTGGCCTCAAACTTCAGTGCTCATATCTTAGCAGCCTCCTTAGTAGCTAAGATTACAGGCATGAGCCACCAGTGCCTGGCTCTACCTCTAATTCTACTTCTTTTTTTTTTTTTTTGGTCACTCATGGACTTGAACTCTGGGCCTGGGTGCTGTCCCTCAGCTCTTCAGCTCTAGACTAGTGCTCTACCACTTCAGCCATAGCGCCACTTCTAGTTTTCTGGTGGTTTATTGGAGATTAGAGTCTCACAAACTTTCCTGCCCAGGCTGGCTTTGAACTACTATCCTCAGATCTCAGCCTCCTGAGTAGCTAGGATTATAGGTGTGAGCTACCTGTGCCCAGCTTTAATTCTACTTCTAAGACTAGAAAAAGCTGCCTCTCCCCAAAGCAGCTTGAGTACAAGATTTGCTAATGTTGGTCTACTTTCTACAAATCTTAAAATAAGTATTTTCCTCAAGTATATCATGATTGGAATAAGAAAAGTACTGTACTCTGAATGCATCAGTGCATCTCCGAATCTGAGAGTATGAAGATGAAACAGTCTGTTTTCCTGAAGCTTTCAGTCAGGAAAAGAGCATCAGACAAACATTATTGTGATGAGTATAAATGATGGGATGTAAATTCAGTATACCTGAGGAGAATGGAAGGTATCAGGGAAGGTTTTGTAGCAGAATTGATCCTTGATCAGTCTTAAGAGACTTAAGAGTGGAGGAGGCAACAGTGCTTGATAAGAAGTGTACTCATTACCTTGCCCATGTAATTGTAACCCCTCAGTACGGTATTTTCACAATTAAAAAAAAAAATGGCCTAGGGGCTGGGAAGGTGACTCAGTGGTAGAGCACTTGCCTTACATGCATGAGGCCCTGGATTCGATTCCTCAGCACCACATAAGCAAAAAGAAAAAAGCCGGAAGTGATGCTGTGGCTCAAGTGGTAGAGTGCTAGCCTTGAGCTGAAGAGCTGAGGGACAGCGTCCAGGCCCAGAGTTCAGGCCCCAAGACTGGATCCAAAAAAAAAAAGGCCTAAAGTAGAAAAAAAAAATCTTAAGAGTTCTAGGTGGGGGGCTGGGAAGGTGGCTCAGTGGTAGAGTGCTTGCCTTGCATGCATGAGGCCCTGGGTTCGATTCCTCAGCACCACATAAGCAGAAAAAGCTTGAAGCAGCGCTGTGGCTCAAGTGGTAGAGCTTGAGCCTTGAGCTGAAAATCTGAGGGATAGTGCCCAGGCCCAGAGTTCAGGACTCAAGACCCACACACACACACAAAAAGAGAGTTCTAGGTGTTTACTGCCTAAATGGGAGGGGAGATATTTAAGAAAGGCATTCCAGGGCAAAGGAGTAATTAATAGAAGCAAAGCCAGGCAGGCATGAAATAGCATAATGATTTAGGGGGACTGGAATTTGTTTTGCACAGCTGAAGCATAAAATCAGAAAGGAAAGTAGGACATGGGAAAAGATGAGACTAAGAAGATAGGCAGGAGGTAGATCACAGAGGCTTTGAAGACCCTTTTTAGGAGATTGGACTTTTTTAGGTGGTGTTAAATTTGATTATATTTATTCCTAACAGAATTTGCTTTTTTCAAATGATCATTGACAACTCTGGGAAGGACAACTTAAGAAGGTCCTTAGTTTGAAGTGGTGATTGGTTAAGAGACAGTTGAAAAAGTCTGGATGAGAGATAGTGAAGGCCTTGAACAAAGCAGGCTGAAAAGGATAACTTGGCTAAAAACCCCAGTACTTGGTGATCTGTGTGGAATTTGAATATTGAGAGGTTTGAGGGAAGGAGTGAGAATTTGATGGGAATGGAAGAACCAATAAGGAAAGCAAAACATGTTTAAATACCATGTTACTTTCAACATTAAAGAGAATGAAGATGTGTGAGGCAGAGGTAGGCTTGACAAGACATCTCCTATGTTTGCCTGAGACATCTATTCTCACCTTTATTGGGAAGGCAGACTAAGATTAGCTAGAAGCTCAAGTACCCCTGCCTATCTTTCTTTCTCTTTTACCCTCCCTCCTCACAGGAGTGACAGAGCTCTGGAGGAGGCAGTAGCAGAGGTGCTAGACCATCGACCCATCGATCAGAAACACTGCCCTCCCTGTCATGTTTCAGTGGAACTCGTGGGATCCTGTGCCACCCTAGTGACTGAGAGAATCCTGCAGGGGGCACCAGAGGTCTTGGACAGGCAAACTGCAGCCCTTCTGCATGGTAAATATGACTGTGAGTCATGAGATCTGAGTAGTTTCAAAGAAGTTGAAAAGTCTAGACTCTTCCAGCCTAACTATATGATCTCAAAGCCATTTAGTTCATGGATGAGGGTGGGATTCTTTTGGAAACGGGCATTCAATGGCCTAGGGAATGTTTTATTGGAGAAAGTGTAAAGGAAGCCCAAGGCAATAGACCTTGAAGCTTCCTATTGTCCATAGCAGTGTTTAATGGAAGGAGGAGGGGCCAAAGAGGCAGGATCCGGATTCTGATAGAACTTCCATAAGTGAATCTCTTACTAATCTTTTTCTCATATTTCCACTTATTAAAAAAGAGGATTATCTCTTCCAACTTAAAAATTGATAGAATTTAGCTCACTGAAAATGTATTTGATGACATTAGGAAATTCCACTAGGACTTCTTAAGCTTCCTTTCCACCTTTGCTCCGTTTCCCTATTTTTTTTTGGTTGTGGGGAGGGGGTTGGTCATGGGGCTTGAACTTTGGGCTTGAGCACTGTCCCTGTGCTCTTCAGCTCAAGGCTAGGTCTCTATCACTTGAACCACAGAGTCACTTCCAGTTTTCTGGTGGGTAATCGGAGATGAGAGTCTCATGGACTTTTCTGCCTGGGCTGGCTTTGAACCTGTGTCCTCAGATCTCAGCCTCCTAACTAGTTAGGATTATAGGCATGAGCCACTGGCTCCAGTGTTCAGCTCCCTACTTTTTAGGTTAGATTTGGGAAGTCTTAACTCAAGATACTGAGTCAATCAGTTGATGTTTCTCATTTTGTTTTCAGTGACTTTATCCTGCAAATCTCTTCTGCTTAGTTTGAAGGTTTTATGTGTCCTATGCTTGTAAGTGGTTGAATCACAGTATTAAAAGTCTGTCACCTCCCTTCCTTAGGAACCATCATCCTGGACTGTGTAAATATGGATCCTAAAATTGGAAAGGCAACTCTAAAGGATAAACAATATGTGGAAAAGCTGGAGGCTCTCTTCCCAGATCTGCCGAAGAGAGAGGATATCTTTGAATCCTTACAGAAAGCAAAGTTTGATGTCTCAGGTATAAAATTTCAACCTGAATTCTCCATCTTCCTCAGGAGTAGGCTGGTGGACAAGCATTGTTCCTTATATTCTTCAATGCCACCTAAACAATTTTAGAGCATGCATAATGATTTAAGCTTTATACCAGAGAGAGGTGGAGTATGAACATATGAGCCCTGTCACTCTTGGGTAAGATAAGGAAGTATGATGGTGTGTACCTGAAATCCTAGCACGTAGCGGGCTTAGACAGGATTTTGAGGTTGAGGCTGACCTTGGCTACAAAGTGAGACCCTATCTAAAAAGAAGGTTTAAGTCAAATGTGAGAATATAGCATGTAAATAAAATATATTGAAGGGCTAGTGAATTATCAATGTGCTATATAATTGGTTAGAGGCAGAAGAAACATTTAGAGTGACTACATAGGACTGGTGGTGTGGCTCAGGTGGTAGAGTACCTGCTTGGCAACCTGGAAGCCAAGTTCAAATTCCAGTACTATAATAATGAATATACAAATGATGAAGAGAACAAAAATATCTATAAACTCCAACCCAGCTACCACCTACTTAGATGAAAAGGAAAGAGGACTGTCTAGGGGAGAGGCAAGGAGAGACACTGGGGGTTGAAGAGGTCCAAAGTATGTTATTTGCATGTGTGCCCATGTACACACCTGTGTGTGTGTGTGCGCGCATGCACATGCATGAGTGAACGTATACATATATATATGTATGTATATACATAAGTAGAGATACATAATGAAACCTACTAAATGCTGTTTGTAAAAGGGAGAAGTTGGATGGGGGCTTAAGGAACATAATAAAGGGGGTAAACTCATTCAAAGTATGCGGTGCATGGATAGAGTGATAGAGTGCCTGACTGGAAAGCATATGACCTTGACTCCAAACTTCAGTATCATCAGTCAATTCAAACTCTTATGACATTATGATAATGAGACCTCCTTATAGTATTACTATGTGCTAATTTAAAACAAGTGGAAGGAAAGAAAGAAGAGTACACATATACTTTTAGAAATTTAAAGCAATACAGAAGGGGGAAAGGAGGGCTGGGGTATAGCTCAGTAGTGCTGCACCTGCCTGCATGCAGAAGGCCCTGAGTTTATTCCCAGCAGTGCAGAAACAAACAGCAAAGGAGCAGGAGAGGTGGAAGCCTCTCCTTCCTTTGACCTTTCTGTATAAAGTCCCTTGATCCAAAGGTAACCGCTGTGCCCAATTAGTTAGCTCATTATAAAACAACATTTTGAGTTCTCTCTTGTGTTTGTTGTATCAAAGAGAGACTATGTTTTTCCTTTTCCTTGTTCTTCCCAACCTTGTGCAGGGACCTGGGTCTCCCATTGTACTCCTATTCTCACATCTATTTTCTAGGACTGACCACTGAGCAAATGCTCAGAAAGGACCAGAAGACCATTTATAGACAAGGCACCAAAGTGGCCATTAGTGCAGTATACATGGATTTGGAGGTAAGAATAAGTTTTGGTATGAGTGGGAAGGGAAAACCTTTAGCTCTGATTGTGGGATTTTGCCCCTGTTCCCCGCTTAGCTTTAGAATACCTCTGGGCCCGCCTATACTCTGTGACCCTACAGCCTATCGTCTCTCACTGCACCACATACTCGTTTCAGTTTCCCTGACTCCGCTTCTGCACCTCTACAAATCACTCTCCCCGCAGCAACCAGATCAGGTGTTTTAAGATGTTAAATCATATCCAATACTTCACCTTACTTCCTTTCCATTGTGCTTCTAATATAATCTAAAGGCCTCACTGTGGTTGTGGGACCGTAGCTCTATCTCAATCTGATCATTGTCTGTCTGCCTGCCTGCCTGCCTTTCTTCCTTCCTTCCTTCCTTTCTTTCTTTCTTTCTTTCTGTCCTTCTTTCCTTCCTTCCTTCCTTTCTTTCTGTTCTTCTTTCCTTCCTTCCCTCTTTCTTTTGGTCAGTCATGGGGCTTGAACTCTGGGCCTGGGCGCAGTCCCTCAGCTCTTCAGCTTAAGGTGAGCTCTCTACCACTTGAGCCACAGCGACACTTCCAGTTTTCTGGTGATTTATTTGAGATAAAAATCTTATGGACTTTCCTGCCCAGACTGGCTTTGAACCATGATGCTCAGATCTCAGACTTCTAAGTAGCTAGGATTACAGGTATGAGCCACTGGGCTGGGCTTTGTTTTGTTTTAGTCAGTTGAGGGGCTTGAACTCAGGGCCTGAGTGTTGTCCCTGCACATTTTTGCTCAATCCTAATGCTCTACCACTTTGAGCCACAGTGCCACATCCAGCTTTTTGATGGTTAATTGGAGAAAAGGGTCTTATAGACTTTCCTATCTGGGCTGACTTTGGACCTTGATCCTCAGATCTCAACCTCCTGAGTAGCAAGGATTATAGATAGGCGAGGAGCACTGGCTGACTTGTCTGTCTTTCTTACCTCTTCTCATTCCAGTCCCACTTGTGTACTCATAGTCCAGCAGTTCTGTAGCCACCCCTGTTTTCTTTGTTTCTAGAACCATTAAACTCAAGGCCTTTAAACTTGATTTTCTTTTTGCATACTGGCTTCTTCTTATCCTTCAGGCCTCAGCTCGGATTTATTTTTTGTTTTGTTTGTTTTTTATTTTTATTTTTTGCCAGTCTTGGGGCTTGAACTCAGGGCCTGGGCACTGTCCCTGAGCCTCTTTGTGCTCAAGGCTAGCACTGTACCACTTGAGCCACAGCACCACTTCTGGCTTTTTCTGAGTAATTTATTGGAGATAAGAGTCTCATGGAGTTTCCTACCTGGGCTGGCTTCCTCGGATCTCAGCCCCCTGAGTAGCTAGGCATGAGACATAGGTGCCCAGCTAAAATAATTTTATTTTATGGTTTCTTTGCTACACGTCTCTATTTCTCTGCTGCTTTATCAGTTCCCCTAAAATACCACCATTTCTTTTGTTCTGTCTGGCACCTTTGACTGTGCCTGGTATAGTGGTTACTGTTGAATGAATGTTGAATGCCTTATTTCAAATGGAAATTTTAACTTTAATAATTTTTTGGCTATTGGGGAGGTTCTGAACTCGGGGATTCACATTTGTTAGGTAGGCACTCTACTGCTTAAGCCACACTTCTAGCCCTTTTGGTAGTGTTTATTTTGGGCCAGTACCAGCTCTTGAATTTAGGGCCATAAGGCTCCTGCTCGGCTGGCTTGCTAACAACTGGCACTCTGTATCACTTGGGCTATGCTTCCAAGATTTTGCTGGTTAGTTGAAGGTAGAGTCTCAAGGTCTTTTCTGTCTACGCTGACTTCCAACTGAGATCCTCTAGGTCTCAGCCTCCTGAGTTGCTAGGATTATAGGAATGAACTATGTGTGTGTTGGGTTTTTTGTTGTTGTTTGGGTTTGTGTGTGTGTGTGTGTCAGTCCTGGGGCTTGACCTTGGGGCCTGGGCTCTGTCCTTGAGCTTTTGTGCTTTTTGTGCTCAAGGTTAGCATTCTACCACTTGAGCCATAGCTCTACTTCCAGCTTTTTTGGTAGTTAATTGGAGATGAGAGTCACATTGACTTTGCTGACTGGTCTGGCTTTGAACCGCAATCTTCAGATCTCAGCCTCCTGAGTAGCTAATATTACAAGTGTGAGCCACCAGTGCCCAGCTTCATTTTCTTTTGTTTGTTTTGTTTGTTTGGTTGTTTGGTTGGGTTTTTTTTTTTTT